GAGAATTATTTCAATTTCTAGCATGCGAGTGGCTAAGAATTAAGATATTTGCTAAAGCATTTTGTTTTGTGCAAGTTTTGCCCTACACTAATGATTGTTCAACCAAAGCTCTAAGAGCATCTCGTGCTAACTCGTGTCACTTGTTTGAGGGGCCTAGTCTTGTTGTGGTCTGTTGGCTTAAAATATCCAGTCGTACGCTACAATGATAGTGGACAAATTCAAAATAAGATAAAACAACAAAAAGAGTGTTAAACCTAAAATTATGCCCTTGTTTGAATCCCATATTTTAAAAAATATATATTTTTAAACAGTGTTTTGATATCATTTCAACCACACATTCTTCAATAAAATAATATTACACGAAAATCTAAATTTTTTCTTTATTTTTTAACCACACATTTCACATCATTACACTATTCAAAAATGAGGCTCAAACAATATCAACTCATTAGCGCAAAATAATGCGACCCAAATTTTCTGGCATACGGATTTTCACTCTTTTGCTTAAGTTTTTTTCTAGATGTTTGCTCTGACATGTCACATACTTAGAAGAACAAAGCCTTGTGTTTGTTCTATAGGGGTCTTACCAACCCCTCACATGGGGTCAGCCCCATGAGGACCCCGATGCCATAAATAAATAAATAAAAAAAGGGACCCCATCCTTGTGAGGGGTCGGTAAGACCCCTATAAGTGCTCGGCCTAACTTTAAAGATAAACGAAGTCATCACATTACACGTGTCAAGATGATCATTAGGCTTATACTAGTCATCACGTATTTGTACAACTACTCTAGGTTAATTATAAATTGTTATGACAGGCTCTAAAATGAATATTCAAACTAAATAAGGACAATTTGTAAACATTTGAATGTATGTAGGTCCAATCATTAAGACGTGCTTATAATTCATGTCTATGTTGAAAAAATGTCTCCTCAAATGTGTTAAACGCCCATAGAGTAATAAATACACTATGGAGGCATGACCCTTACTATTATATTGGTAGCTTTCACTGAAAAAGAATGGACCTAATTTTTGTGACTGGAAGAGTGCCAAAAATCAAATGTTATTCTATTAATAAATAAGCCACAAGCAATAAAACATTACTTTCATTTTTTTTTTCTCATAAGAACTAGTCATTCGAAAATTTGGATAAACGATGAGAATAATGTAACCTAACAAGTGAAGATAATATCAATTAAAGTGTGAGTTTCGTTTGTTAAAAATCAAATTGTTTTGGATGAAAAACTTTGAAAATGTGATTCATATAGCCGACCAGTAGAATATTTTAGTTGACAAGAACTACATTAAATAGGCATATCTCCATTTTGATACTTGAAATAACTCATAACTAATTGCAATCATGGCGAATTTTCTGGACCAAGAACTTCATCAACGATTACAATTTGCAAGGTATGAAATTTTCATTATTGATGCAAAAATATAAATACAAAGACGATTATTGTTGAGGATATAAGTAAAAATAAATAAAAACTTTAACGATTGTGACGTATATTGACTCAAAGTTAAGTATTCAAAGCATATTATTTACTAGTTGAGATTGTGTTTTGAGAACTAAATGGAAAATTAGTTATGAATGTGCAAAGTTTGTCGGAGTTTTAAGATGCTTTGATGAGATCGAAATGACACTTTAAGCTAGTTGCAACAATGTGGTGTCATTTAGAAATTGAAATTTAATTCTTTTTTGAAAATTCGAAATTTAATTTCTAATATCATTATCAATTTACACAATTCCATAATTTTCAGAACTGAAATTTTAAAATTTTGGAAGAAACTTAGAGTTTAGATGTGAAATAAGGGGGTACTCTACACAAACAATCACCAATAGAAATTTGGTTTGTAGTACCTCGTTAACAGTTAACACTAAAACTAAAATTTGTGAATAAGAAAGTGCTATAGAAGTGATAGTCTCTTCTTTGGTGCCATATCCTTGAATTTCTTAATTGAATTGGGCCATTTGGGCCTCAATGGACTCGTAGATCGTCAAAACCCAATTCATCTATGTGGTTATACTTTTGCATTAGCACCTTTTTAAAAAGGAAAAATTGCAGCAGCGATCTCTAATTTTTTTATAGATTTTATCTTAACTTTCATTTTGTGTCAATGAAGATCCCTAACATTTCATAAATATGCACTCGAGGTCCATCTGGACGTAAACTGTCTAAAACATCCTTGAACTGTCTGCTACCGCAACGATTTTATTAGATGTTGATACCTTTTCGGACGATATTTTGCACGATTTTATTGGATGGTGATTCTTTAATTTTCCAGGTCAACCAACGATGTTTTGGATGGTTTCCATCAAGGTGAACCTTAAGTACATATTTATGAAAGGTTAGGAACCTTCGTTGGTATAAAACGAAGGTTAATATAATGTCTGCAAAAAATGAAAATGTTAGGGACCGTTGCTGCAATTTTTCCTTTGGAAAAATGGTAAAACCTGCAAAATCAATTATAAATTAATTAAACTAGATTTAATCCAAATTACATGTTAATCATATATATGAGCATCTTGTGACATATTTGTCCCATACCTTGTTGTCATGTTTGATTTGCAAGATTAAGAAAGACATATACGTAAAACCTTTATTCATTTTAATACAACCCACCCCTATAGTCCATTTATTACTCGAAGACGAAATATCTGGTATAGTTTATAAAAAAATGATAACCATAGTTCCTTCTTCAAATTAAACTAGTTTTCCACCCGTACAATGCACGGACTATGTCATTTTTAGGTAATATTAAGTTATTAACGTGTCAAAATATATATTCAGTTTTCTCAATAAATCTACAAATTTGATTAATTATTTAAAATGATAAATTGAAGTGTATTATTCATATATGACACACTTTTGACATTAAAAAAAAATTAAAAAGTTTATTAGGAATTTTTTTAAATGACATCAACATTCTTATTAGATTATTTAAAAAAATTAATTGATTGAGAGGAAAAAATAACAATAAGAAAAAAATTACTAAAAATGATCGAATTTCTTTCATATAAATTTTTTTTTCAGATGTTAAAATATCAAGATGAAAAATTAGTTGATCTCAATTTTGTGTTGCTATAATTGAAATATTTTTTTGGAGATAGGATAAATGTTCTCTCGATGCATGGATTAAAAAGCCAAATTATTGGAGTTCATAATTTATATATCAAATATTATTTTACATATAAAGGACGTATTTGATGATAACTATATTCAATATAATTAAATTGTGTAATTAATCAAATCTTTTTGTATTGTTCAATATCCAATCAATTTAATGAATTTTTTTAATTTACGTATAATATTATTTTATGGAAGATTTTGCAATTGAAAATAAAATAGAAAAAAATGAAAAAAAAATTAATGGAGCCAAACAAAAACTGAGCCACAATATAATATTTTGTTACTTAAAATGGGGTTGAGGTTTTTATTTAATCACCCAATTTTGATATATTTGAATTTAATCCTCCAAAATTTTCACTGGGTGATTTATTTAATTTTTTTTATATAAAAATCTACCATAAATCTTCTATATTCTCTCAAAACTCGTTTCGAGAACTATGTCATAGATATATCGAATGATCTAAATGAATATCGAAAATAGTGAAATGTACATCAAACGTGTATGTTAAAAATGCATATAACTCGTCTTTTTTCTTAAAAAAAAAAATCAATTATTTTATTAATGTTTATTATTTTTTTTTGCGACAATTTTCTCAATGTAATTTACATCATTTTCTTAAAAAGAATATTATGTGATATAACGTCAACTATTTTTTTTTTATGTAAAAATTCAAATAAAGCAAAACAGCAGCACCACACACGCGTAAGAAGACCATTAGTAGTGATTTCAGGAGTGAAGTGAGATATTACTAGATATTCAACAGTAAAATAGGAAAACACGAGAATGAATAGTGCTCACCACATTCACTCTTTTATTGTGGTAGAAAAAAATATTATGTGGTATGACGTCAACTATTTCTTTTTTTGGATGTAAAAATTCAAATCAGACAAAACAACAGCACCACACACACATAGGAAAATCGTTAGTCGTAATTTCAGAAGTGAAGTGTGATATTATGGGATATTCAAGGGTAAAATAGGGAAGCAGAAAATATATCTTGAATGAATAGTGCTCGTCACATTCACTCTTTTATTGTAGCAGAGATATAATTGAATGAACAGTGACAAGATATTTTTAAACGAGCAACTACAGTACACGAGTTGACGATCAACAACAATAAAGCAATCACATTCATTTCATTTCTATGGATTAACAGTATAAATAATTAAAGAGGGATTTCAGTGAAATTAATGCTGAACGAGTTTAACTATAGTAGGGAATCAGTTTAGTGTGAAATCTCTGCATCAAGATGAATAGTAATATTGGGATCCTCTCTTTTAAGGTAAAGGAGGATATAAAAATAAAAAATAAAAATAAAAAAAATAAAATTATAAGATACCACCATAACGCCGCCTCCTAATAAGCTACGAACTACTTTTAGTTTCAATAGATAACCCTTATTTTGATTGAAGTAACGTTGATCATAGTCAGTTTAAATAGGGTTTTAAATAGATAAACCCTTGCTCGGTTCCATAGAATTCATCGGTGACTTCAACCTCATTAGTGACAAACAATTTTTTGGTACTTGGAGGGACCATCAAAGTGACAAAGCACAACAATGAAATTGAACAAAGTCCAATTAAGCCCATATTTGGTACAATTTTTTTTTAAAACACTCTTTTTTTCACTCATTTTCAACCACACATTCTCCTAATAAAATAATTTACATGTAAATCTATAACTATTCCCTACTTTTTAATTACATATTCTCCAAAACATACTTTTTCACAACATCTACATAAACATGCCCTAAGTGTACCAAAGATGCTATATTCGTTCCCATTCCATGGAAATGGTGCATCAAGAACAACCACATTAACGACAAAAAAAATAAAATTTGGAGGGCATTTAGCAGGTCTTTCCAAGTGATAAAGAGGATGAAAACAAGTACTCAAATAAAGCAGATTCCCATGTCACAAAACCCAATTTCAAGCTTCAAACAAGAGCATGGCAAATATATCACTCTACACACAGTTTAAGGCAAAAACTGACTCAGTATGATAATTGATAACATAATACAGACAATTCAAATCAGCAACAATCAGAAATTACTCTCAAACAGTCAAAGTTTTTTTCTGTAGTTGCATCCCGTTAACAGTTGAGTCTGAATTCGTCTTAGGAAACCACATTTCTCGATCTGCAGTTATCGCAACAACACAGGGTTCTTAGTATCGATTTAGTCCGTCCCGTTTTCCTCTTTAGCTTGTTCATGCTTGTCCAGTTGGCTGAAGTTGCCTTTTTGCTTGAAAAGCTGAGTATGATGGTGCCTGCAGTAAAGTTGGTGCTCGTGGGCTACATAGTTTGATGGACTTATAACGCAGCCCCCGTGGCTACACTTGAAACAAGCCCTATGGTATGAAGTTCCATCAACAGCCACCTATGAAATTTTTATCGATCAGAGGCTTTAAACCGATTCACAGAAACTCGAGGAAGAATGAAAAATGTTCCTATGATGGATGCTTGGAATGCAAACAATAAACATGTTTGTATAACTTGTTTTTTCTTATTTTTAAGTTAAAAGAATTACTTACACATTGAAAGTAACTATTAACTTACTATCAAAATAAATAACTTGCCTATTTCCAACTTTAAACAGTTATTTTAAAGCTTACTTATTTAGCCCTTGTTTGATGATCATTATTTTGAAAAAATGTTTTGAATAGTGAATTTTTAGAGAATGTGTGATTAAAATGTAGGGAAATGTCATTGGTTTATGTGCTATATATTTTATTGCTTGAATGTGTAGTTAAAAATAAGTATGAGAATTAAAAGTTCTGTTTTAAAGGGAGACAAACACGAGGCTTAATTACAAATGAACCATCTAAGCTTTGTCAAACATGTTATCAAAAAATTTGGTGTAGGCTACATGAATCCTTTTAGCACTAGGATGATCCAAAGCAACTAGGATGGTGTTCTTATGTTAAAATTTGATGATTGCTAACTCCCTATAATATTCATCATTTCATATCCATTCTAGCCAATCTGTGTCTATTGCATGTTCTTTTTATTACGAGTACCTTTTCAAGGGGGTAAACAGTTTTCTTGCAAGCAACACATTTATCCTGAGTTCCTCCAAACATACTTGAAACTTTGCTACTTGTATGGCTCTGCTCAGTGGATCGGTCAGCCCTAGCAGTTTTAGGTGCCCCTGTAAATAATGTATAGAAATGGATTAGCCAAAGCACAAAAAATCAGAAAATGTGAATTGGTTAGAATTAACTCAATGGTTCTACGACCTTCAAAACTCTTATCTAAGCTGCCAGTCATTTTGAAAAGTTGATCAAAGTGAGGTTTGCAGTATAGAACTCCTTCATAGGAACAGTAATTACTCAGCTGCAGAAAAGAGAATGAAGTGAAGGTCAAAAAGGTTATCTCGACAGAAACTTATTAAATATGCCAATATAACACGGAAGACGGATTGCATAGAGGAAACAGGGAGAACGTAAACCATAAGATCATCTGGGCTTTTATGTCCCACAAGTTACAGAGCGAAATGAAGGTTAGTTCTTCATCAATTTTTCACTCAAGTAACTTCACTTATATGAGATCAAATAATTGCAATGAGGGCAGTGTAGAACATCAGATATCTATGGACAGAAAGGATAATATGGTCTTTCCTTATGAAAATTGGCTAGCTAGACATAAACATCAAATCACATAAACCATGTAGAAATGACTCGCTAAAACCAATTATAGGCAAAATAAACAATATTTTCTTCAAGATTAGTCCACCCATTTTATGAACCATTCACAGTGTTGTCCTAGAAATAGTATCTTTAGTTGCTAATCATGAACAGTCAATAGTCATTGATTGATGTTCAAGCAAAATGATGAACGTTTTTAGAAGCTTAGCCGAGGAATTCAAATATTAAAGTTCAGAAACATAAACTTACTAGTTCATTTTAGTCTACTGAATCCTTTTCAGATGTGTGATACTGAGAGGGAGAGGTACACAAATACATATGGAGTTATAAACTTCAACTTAGTGGAAGAAACTAACACGAAATTTAATAGAAGAAAGCCCATAGAGGCCTGCTAATACAAGAATTCCAGGAGAGATGAAGATGCTTTTGTCACATGAATGCAGTTGGCTTATGGATTCTTTCATATAACGGTGGAATAAATGGCCTATTTCACCTTGCAATCAAAACATCATAGCCAAGTAGTCAACTGAGTATAGTTTGTAAACATAATACATTCCCTCATGTTGATGTATACTGTATACACTTCACATAAGAAAGATAGTGCATGTGATGTTCTCGGACAGTGTAGTCTATAGTAGAAATGGACCTCCAGAAAAAACAATGGATATAAAAGAAGAATATGGCAGAAAACTTTGTTTGCTAGGAGACAAATCGCCAATTCCTCAGAGAGAAACCTTGTGCTTGTCATTTCAAAGTTCAAGCAGCTAGTTTGCTTCTTCAAAAACATCCGTGAGCAATCTAGAGATCCATGTACTGTTATTGACAAAAAATACAGTTTCTTGGAATTACACATCACATCCTGGAGAACAGTTTGCTTCTTGACCGTACAGTATGAATTGGAACCATAATTTACTGCTAAAGTGTACAACAGTTTGGAAAATCAAATACTAATAATGGAGGATCCTTATGAGAAATCAAATACTAATAGACGAATGCCTTTGTCTTTGTCGTCCAATATAGTTAAATCCATTTGATTAAAACTACTTGCATTTAAATTGAAACACACAAGATACCATCCGGTCGAACAGTTCAGTCGAGAAACAGCATATGAATTTGACTTATAATCAAATTATAGGAAACCCTCGTATTAATTACCCACATTAAGAAGAATAAACATCCAATATCCAATCTTATATACTGGGAAAATCAAAACAAACATAGTTAAATCCATTTGATTAAAACTACTAGCATTCAAATTGAAACACCTAACACAAGATACCTTCCGGTCGAACAGTTCAGTCGAGAAACAGCATATGAAATTGACTTATAATCAAATTATAGGAAACCGTTGTATTAATTACCCACATTAAGAAGAATCAACATCCAATATCCAATCTTATATACTGGGAAAATCAGAATTCCAACAATCAAGAACCAAGCAGCCATTGACATCAACAATCAATCCCAATCCTTCAACCGATGACTGATTAATTCATTCAAACAATAACAGTTCGAGAAACAACATAATCTGTACACGTACCAAGTTGTGTGTATATGTATCTATATATCTCTATTTATATAATTATATGCAAGTAAAGTTCAATATAAAAGCAAAGAAGTGAAAAATCAGACCTTGAGGGTACCCTTACAGTGGTGGCATCTAAAACAAGCTTTGTGATAAACCTTGTTGTCAGCAGCAAGTTGATCCACCAAATACACAGTCTTTTCACAGGCCTTACATTTTTGGGTTGTCCCTGCAAAAGTTGCCATATCCCTTTCTCTGTGCTTAGATCTTGATTCTTGAAAATACCCAAAAATCCGCAAATCAAAATCAGTTTTTACAGAAATTGATGCAAGACAACTGATTTCTCTTTCTTCTGAAAAGGGTTTTGTTTTTGAGTTTTTACAGGTCAGCCAGTCAGAGTAGTAGTGCAGATTACCATGTGTTCATCACAGCACAGCCAAGAAGCCACCTTTGACAAATTTGACAAAATTTAGCTGTCCACATTAAGGGCATTTAGTAATATAAAATAAATAAACTAACCAATGATTTTTTTTTCTTTCTTTCGTTTTTTCAAATGTTTACCATTTTTCAATTGTGGTAAAAAGACTCTATAGTTTCAAGTTTAGACAAATTCAACCGTTAATTATTGGAAAGCTTAATTTTGACTCATTTTTTGTAACTATGTATATTTCTGCTTTAGAATTGTTGTGTAATTTTCTTATGATAATGTTATATGTAATATTTAATTTTGAAATAATAATTTCGTACATAATTATGCCTTGTTGATGTATGAAATATTTAACACATTGCAACATGTACAAGATGAAAATGTAAGCATTGGTCAAGTGACAACCAGATAATTTTTATTTTCTTTTTCCGCTCTAAGATGAAAACGCATTTGTACAAGGATGGCCAAATCTAAATTTAAAATATAAATTAAAGTTGAATTGCGTTGAAAAATTGTAAGTCCCATGAAATATTTTGTTAAAATAAATTTTTAACTTTGATTTTGATAAAAATTTAAATTATAATTTCTATCAAATAGGAACTTAATACAAAATTTTCTAAGTTGTCATGCATTATTTAGGATTCTATTACGGTATAAATATTCAAATATCAACAATAATTTCATAAAATAGTAACCAAATCAAGAATCAGAATAATTCTTTTTCCATATTTTTTGAAAGTGAAAGTAAATAATTTTGTATACTTGTTTTAAATGGGTGAAAAATAACTGCCATTTTCATTTTTGAAAAAGTCAAGCTTAGTCATGATTAGGTGTGATTTTAATTTTATTTTTGTCACCACATCATGTGAGACGCATAGGTAGCTAAGGTAGGGCGGGCGCTTGAATAATGTACAACTCATAATGCTTTTCAAATTCTTGAATAGCACTTGCTTTTTGTTTTATATTCATGAAAAAGTTACTTTGGCAGTTTAAATATTTTTATTTCATTAATTTCCCTCCCTTTGTTTTAGTTCAGAAGACCAGCCACATTTATGACCTCTATATGACTTGTGTTAAAATAGTTTAATAAATGTGTAATTAGTACAAACCGTTTATTGTGCAAAAATTTCTTACCTTTCATTTTTTGATATTTTTATTCCTAGTTTCACATTTAAAAATGTCATTTTCATCTAATTTTTCAATTAAACAATATAAAATGATAAATATGCCCTCCTATTAAAATTAAACAAAAAAGAAAAGAAAAATTAAAGAACAAATTACAATTATACTCTCAATTTTTTAATATTATTATGTAAAACGTCCATACATTTCATTTTTTAGCATTTTCACCCTTATTTTTATATTATATTGTAAAAATCATTATTTTCATTTATGTTCTCAATAAAAAATTATAAAATGATGAATATACCCTCCTATTTAAATAAAAGAAAAATAAAGACCAAATTGCAACTACACTCCCAAATTTTCAAAAAAGGTAGAAGTAAATTCCAAATAAATAATTAAAAAAAAGAAAGTGATTTTTTTGAAAAATTTGGAAGAATAGTTGTAATTAGTTCTTTATTTTTGTTTTATTTAAATAAGAGGGTATATTCGTCATTTTATAGTTTTTAATTTTAAAAAATGGATAAAAATGATAATTCCCGCAATGAAACGTAAAAATAATAGTGAAAATGTCAAAAAAAAAAAATGAAAAGTATGAACGTTTTGCACAATAATATTGAAAGGTATAAACGTTTTGTTATAATTTTCCTTATAGTAATTTATTTGAGATCATTTACAGTTTTTTAAAAAGTTTGGGTGTATAATTACAATGTGTTCTTTAATTTTTATTTATTTTATTTAAATAAGAGGGTATATTTGTTATTTTACATTTTTTAATTGAGAAATAGGATGAAAAAAACTTTTCAGCGATGAAAGGTAAAAGTAGGGTAAAAAAAAAAAAAAGGTATTGATGTTTTGCACAATAATATTAAAAGGTAAGGACGTTTTCTACTAATAACCCTTTAATTAATCTCCTCGAGGGGCCTATTATCGAATACTTTACGGTTCAAAAGTTTAATTTTATTCATCTCTTAATTTTATTAAATATTGTAGAATAGTATCTGCAAGTTGAATGAGTGAACTAAAAATGAACAGAAACTGCTAACGATTAATGCTGGCCCCATGAAAGGATCCAACACTAATAATATGGATGAAATAGCACTTCACACAATTAAAAATGAAAAAGAGCCTAAAATTTTGCTCATTAGATTATTCATTCATGTCCCGTACAGCATAACAAACATTATCTCGGATATACCACCAACGAATTCGTCTAAAGTACTTGAATAAAAATTGGAAAACTAGTTCAAGCTCCACTCAACTGCCATTACAGTTTGCTAATTCAATGAGTTGCTTGAAAATATCAACCTACTTTATTTTCAAAATCACTAGCCATTGGGGTCAGGGGCGGACCCACGGTGGGTCCTGGTGGGTCACATGACCCACCAAGGTTTGAATTTTTCTTTTTTTAAATTTAATATGAACCCATGCAATTACAATCCAGTCATCATTGTTGAATGTTGAAGCTACCGGAAGCTTGAAATAGGAAAATGGTTTTAGGCTTTCATTTTTTTTTAAAAAAATTGTGGACTTCTTACTTTGGGCTTTTTTTTTCTATAAATCGGCCCATATCCAAAGGCTTGAAACTTTGTATTGTAATGATTGCCTCCTTAACAATTTAACATATCACAGACAAAACCAATTTTTACCTTCCGCTGTGCGCCCCCAATCAACAAAGCGAAGCCCCTACCCCCATTAGGCTTCATGTAGATTTCTTGAAGAATAAAGCTTTTTCCAATGGTATGGTGTCTCTTAGAGATATTTTTCTTTTCTTTAGAAGTCTTTACTGGAGTGGGGAGGCCGACAAATGGGTTTGAAAACCTGTTGAAGGAATTTGTGACATACTGCTTGGAGATTGTTTTATTGAGTGTTTGGGAATCTTATGTTCGTATTTGCCGATATCTTGTTTTACTCTGGTGTATGGATTAACATCGGTTGGATCTAGATATACAATTAAGATAATAAAATTTATTGATTGGTGATTTACAGATTTATTATTGTGATTTGGGGTTCTTGATTTGTGATAATTTATGATTTGAGGTTTATGATTTGTGAATATGTGATTTATTAAAATTGTAATAATGCCGTGCGTTTGTTAATCTTTCCTTTTAAATGCTGTCAAGTATTGCCCCCCAATCCCCTGTCACTTTTATGCAAATTTGTGTAAAACTTTATTGAAGAAGCACACAGACTTTGAATTGTTTGGCTTAATCCCAAACGTATGCATTGAATAAGTTTATATAGACATTTACACCAACTGAACTGAGTTACCTTAGGAGACTGACTAGCATATATTGTTACAATATTCCACTCTAATTCAAAAGAAAGTTGAGATAATTCTGTACTAGAATCTTATCCTAATCTGAACCTCTTTTCTTGGCAGTATAGGTAGGTGCTGATGTGCATAATTCTGCTGTAGAATCTGGTCCTCTTTTTTCGGCTGATTCACGGGATAAAAATTTCACATCGGTTAAATACCGAAATATTGACCAATTTAAAAAGATCTTAAACTACTCCTCTTAACAAGGTTGACCATATTAAGATAAACAATTTGATCGTGTCCCACTAACTCAAAGTCTCTGTGTCCGTCAATCATTAGGGTCCCGGAAAAATGTCTGTTGTACCATATCATCATAATGTCCATTTCCCTTGCTCAGTTAATATTTTGCATGACAGCGTGGAACACCTATAGGCGAAAAATCTATCCCCCTCTTTAGAGGATGGAAAACGGTGTTAATGTTGGGGCTTCCAAAGTTATGCACTCTCTTTCGCTTGATTACAGGCTTCTTCTCGAATTTCCGCTTTAATATAAATCTCGTAGCAGCATCCTGTAACAAAGGTGAAGGATAGCAAGGTAGAAACCAGTTTATTAATAACGAGAAATTTGACCTTAATGGCTTCTTTGGTAGAGTTGATTGTACAGTTAGGAACAGTAGCAGAGAAGAAAAGGTTGAATTTTGTCAATTTTACTGTCCAATCCTAACAAATACTGCAAACAAACCAGTCCTAAAAAGTATATCATGTTCATTCACATAGTAAACAAGTTGAAAGTAATCTATCAGTCAAATCTATGCCTCGTCACGAACCCCAAAAATGAAAAAAAAATTCCAAAATGTCATTTGAAGGTGCGACTAGAGACACAATTGTGCCTCTTGGGAAAGTAATATGAAACATCATTCTCAAACATGATAGAACACAACAGAACAGAAGTCCGACTGTTGCAGAAACTGGACAGGACAGTGCAAGACATAGAAGCTCTTGGCCTTCCACAGATATATTCAACTATCAGATGTGTGACCCAGTATTCACGTTTCACTTCAGCCATGACCTAATGGTAATAAGGGAGACGAGCAATACAAGTAACAGCGGGATTAATCCTTGATAGAATAGAGTAAAAGACAAGTATCCCAGTGAAACAAGATTGCATGGAAGAGAAGAGAAGTTGAATTTATTTGTGACAGACTTATATAACAGACAATGTATTTCTACATCACCTAAGATTCCAGCAAAGAAAGTCTCTCTAAATGTCACCGTCCAGAATAAACAATCAGATACAAGCCCTAAGTGGTGATATGAACCTTTACTAACATATGCAGAGATTATATGAACTGTTCATTATTGTCATTCTTGATTTCCTAACTAACCAGTCAATAGATCACCAGTCAATAAATCAAGTGAATAATCAGATTATTCTTATACCAACTCAAAGAATATAGGTCATCCCAATTCCCAACATCCACAATGCATTTTATGGCTCTTTTACCCCACAGCTCTTAGGTTTTATGTGTTGCAGGTCTATTAGCAATAAACAGAAATTAGCTAAACAAAAATGATCACATGACACCCCACTAGGTTTTGTATTGCACCCCTGTTAGTCATTGAGCAAATATAAAGTTGATAGAATCAATTATAATTTGTGGTGAAGAGATTGGCATACCAGCTACAACTAGCACTGTAAGAGCATCTCCTACTACTTTTAATCGCCGAACGCTTGTCTTATGTGATTTGAAGCGCTTTAGTGCTGGATCCTCAGCTAAGAGCTGGAAGACAATAAGCTTATTTCAGAACCAATGCAAGAGGACAAGAAATCACCTACTTGAGTTCATGAACATAAAGACAAAGGTGTCTATGAAGAAAAATCAAGTACACCTGCCACACTTCTCCAGATATGTTCATTTAATTCCACAGAGAGACAGAGAGAAGAATAAATAATATCTACTAAGGCTTGGAACATGAACGTTCCCATGAATACAATTAGAGCCATGCAATAGGTTCAAACAAGATCCTTTCAACTGACAAAAAAATTCTCTGAAATGCTTCATACCTAATTTGTATGATCATCTGGGTGGAAAGGACCTGTGGATGGACTATCCTTTGATATGTCACCACCCAGAAGAATCGTGCAGCAAATATATGTTCAGATGCTACATATGAAGTTTTGAGACTGATTTTAACAGCAAAAAATAAATAAATAAATAAATAAAGTTTAAAAAAAATATATCATGCTGACCATCAACTAATAAAGTTTATCTTCATTAACAAATGAGCCAATAGAGCAGAAAACTAATGAAAAAAGATTAAAGGAGCAAACCACAAATCTTTATATAAATGAACACTATAAGAGGTTAATAAGAAGTTTGCCAAGGCAGATAATGATTATGATTATGATTATGATTATGATTATGTAGGAGATTGAGGGGTTAAAACAATGCCATGTACATCAATATAAACTAAATTATAATGTTCATAGTCAAGTGGTGCATCTCTAAACTTTGACGTCCTGAGATCAAATAGATTATTCCAATTTTCCCAACTTATTGGAGCAAGCTTGCCTAGGGTGGCAAAAAAATCCGTCATATCCAATACCCACGAGGCCTGCTTAATCAGGTAATCAGGTTGGGGACGAGGCGAGTACTTGTTAAACATATAAGCCCGTCCCGCCCCTTCAGCTGGTCTTGTCAGGCCCTGCTCTAGGGGCCTAATGGACAACATTTCTTGCATGGTCTTGGCTTTGTCATTACAAGACTCGCAGTTAATGAATCATCCCAGCTTAGTTCCATTTGAGTGACTCAATAATTAAAGGCTGTATGGATGTGAGGTTTCATTTACTTGGTAGAATTTTATGCTTTAATGAAATTAAATGGGCTATTTATTTAAAATCAACCCATTCCATTTAATAGTTTCATTTATTTATTTTTCTTTAATTTCTACAATGGTGTATGACGGATTTTTTAAGAATTCGATAATTTAAATGGAAATCTCCACCAAAATTTCATTAATTCTAATAGAAAATGACGATAAGATTATCTAAGGAATATGAATCTATGATAAACAATAAGGCCCTTAGTTTATCAAATATATTCTAATAATTTAACTTTTAAAAATTAATTAATTAATTAAAAAATTTAATAACTACATTATTGTCTCACTTTAATAAATGGGAGCAATAAAATAAATTATCAAAAACTTAAAAGAAGGGTACATAAACGGGGCAAACGCCCCACCCTGCCCCCCGACTCACCCCACCTTAAACGGTTAATGGGCCGGGTATGGGGCAAGAAAATTTCGACCTGCCCCATTGCCATCTCTGCTTACCACATTCCCACAAAAATGTAAATGAATAAAAGGAAAATGATTATGGAAAACCTCATCAACGGAATTTGCCTACATCAACTGGGGCAATGAAGGCCTTGCCTAATGCTCGAGTCCTTAAGCATAAGAAACACTATGCTTCCTGTTAAGGTATCTCATTGATCTCCATAGATGGGAAGTAATTTTTTATTTTTTTAAAAAAAAAAAAACAAGGTCTTAAATGTGATGAAGTACATTGACAAGTAACCTTTGTAAATGGAATTGTTAAAAAAAAAACCCAAATTTATGTTTCCAGCATTGCATAGAGGAACTTCAGTAAGAAAAATTAGAAAAAATAAATAAATTCAAATTTGACTTCAAAATCTGAAATTTTCTGACTACAATTTCATAGCTAGATTTTCAATCCACAAAATGCAATCTAGCTCTTAAATTCAAAACCCCTGTCCAGCTAAGCAAGAAAATTATATAAGAAGCCTACAACTTGATTAGTCTCATTATCGCCTGATCAATTTAACAAAAAACATCATTTATCTCAAATGAACATAACATGCAGCAATCAAATTTACAAGAAATCCATATATCAAATTAGCAATCCTCCTTCTCTTCAGACTACTCAAAAAACAATTCTGTTCATTAAGTTGATATATATGTTCAGATCTGAACGACTATAACTTATGAAATTAGATAAAATAAATAAATAAAGCTTATTCGAAGCACGTAAAACTTATTCTAGATAATAATAATAATAATAATAATAATAATAATAATAATAATAATAATAATAATAATAATAAATAATAATAAAATCAGTCAAACGGAAAGAGAAAAACTCTAATACTCACATCTCACGAGTTCCAGGTTCGATATGAAATCCACGCCATGATAACATTAACGAATCACAGGTTTCTGCGGTAAATTCCACAAATAAATAAATAAATCCATTACCACGTTAAAAACGCATATATAATAAACGATTAGCATAAACCACAGTCTACACAGAATAATATATGCATTACGTAACGCGTATGTATATACCTGTGAATGCAATCGAAGTGTAGAGAGTGCAGTTTTCTTAAGTAAAAAGCCATATCTTTAGAGAGAGAGAGAGAGTCTCAGCTGAAATGCCATAATTGGGTAGAAAAACTGAATAATGATAACTCAGTGAGTCAGAAGATTTAACATTTTACAAATTGGTCCCTATTCTTTTCCCACATTCTATTCAATCCATAATTTAAAACGACGTCGTAGGTCTTTGGACCCTTTGGATCGAGAACAGTCCATTAAGCTGATCAACCCAAAGCCTCATTACTTGGACCCGTTTGTAAAAAGTGATATTGACATAAATAGCACCAAATAAATTTTTTAGGTGTTCTAAACGTATTTCCTTTCAACGTTAATAACTGCCAATCATTCTGATGAAGCACGTTTCGCCACGTCGACAGTTTCGTTTCGTTAGACACAAATAAAAGAAAGAAAAGCAAAATTATTATCAAGAAAATGGCATTACGAGGAGCAATTCGTGTTGGAAGACAAGCCAATTCATCTCTGTTTACAATTCCTTGTTATCTTCAAACGATATATAAAGTTTCTGCTTCAACCCCACGTAGAAGATTAAATCCAATTTCACATAATCAAACAGGTACATGTTACTCATCATACCTATATTTTTACTGGGCTCGTGATTTAATAATTATATATTTTGTCTTAAATTTCAATTGCTCGTTTGAACTTAGACGGATTGAAATATTCTGGTGAGGAGAATCTGGGTTTGTTTGTTTTCACCTGTTCAGGTTGTTTGTTTATTGTTGTTGTTATTATTATTATTATTTTCTTTTCCCCCCTTTCAGGGGAGGGAAATAATTTGATAGTGATTTTAAGTGCTCATAAATGAGCAATAAGTTGTGATCTACAAGATGTGTCGATAAAAAAATATGTTTAACAAGCCACATATACTCTGCTGATCCCAATCGTATAACAAGCCGCTGGGCTAAGGCACAGTTCGTCCCCTTACGAGCCGGTTTTAAAGGTAAGCTATACCCTACCAATGTGATTGTTACAGTTGGAATCGGATCAGCCCTTATGGGGATGACCCTCGTTTGGGAGGCGCTACTTTCAGTAGAAAATTGTTTCCATATAGTTACCTAGCTGAGAATATGGGTCTGACATGGCCATGGTTACAAGTGTTTTTGTCTTTATTCCATCTGTTTAATATCTACGCATCTCTTTTTCCCAGGATTAAAATATTCGATTAGGGCTGTAAGTGGAACATCTGTGGATCCTATAGTATCCAAGAAACAAAATGGGGAAGAATCATCACAGAATTGGAAGATTAAAATGCTTTATGATGGGGAATGCCCACTGTGTATGCGCGAGGTATTCCTATTTGATGATTTCGATTAGATGGTAGTGAACGGTACCAAGAAGTAGTTAATGTTTTTTAATGTTCTGTTCTGACTAGTGCTATGTACCATACATGCTCCTTTCTCCCGATATTGTACTCGATTTTTACCTTGAGAGAACTTTTAAGTTAGTTTGATGTTATTTGAACCGGAGTTTTATCTACTTCTCGTAGGTGAACATGCTGAGAGAGAGGAACAAAAGTTATGGAACAATCAAATTTGTCGACATAAGTTCAGAAGAATACACTCCCGAGGAGAATGAAGGACTTGATTATAAAACCGTATGTTGCCTCTACAGTTTGGAATTTAATAATTTTATAGTCTTTTGCAAGAATTCGTGTTTTGGTAAACAATAATGCTACAGGGACAGGCTCAAAAACAAGGTAAAAAAATAGGTTAGACACGTTTCGAAACATGATTGGACACTTTGAAAAATTTTAAAACAGATAGCCAATCACTTTCTGCCAAATTAGTCTGTCTCTAAATCCCTATTTTTTAGCCAGTATGACTGACTTTATTCAAAGAAGGTTCATAGTTAGCGTAAAGCTTTCTCAAACATTATAGAATTCCCTGTCTATTAAGATCATAATTACATACACGCGTCCATGTTTCTTTAATGCATTGCTAACGTTCCCATAGTTGTTAGGTTATGGGAAGAATTCATGCAATTCAATCAGACGGGACCGTTGTGACGGATATTGAGGTACAATTATAAGAATAAATGTTTAAAAACTTGACAAATCTCTACGTTTTTTGTTCTTACTATGATACATGCTGCTGGAAAGTAATATCTTAAGAATGTTTTTAAATACCTGGTCAAATTTTCCTCTTACTCTAGCAAGAACTAGTTTCTGAAAATTGAGAGCTAGCGTTATGGAATTGTGCATATGCAGGCATTCAGAAAACTCTATGAAGCTGTCGATTTGGGCTGGGTGTATGCTATAACCAAATATGAACCGGTAAGCAGAATTTTTATGTTCGATTGGTATTTAAGTGGGTGTTTCTGGCATACCTTTTCCATATTTTGAAACTTATCGACTTCGTACGCATAAATTCTACATAATAAGAAAGTGTGACGTCGACAGGTTGCGACCATAGCTGATGCAGTTTATGGCGTGTGGGCTAAATATCGTCTTCAAGTTACAGGTGGAAATTTTTTTCTTGTTTTCTCCTGGATTATAAAACATTGCACGATGTTAAAGAAAAAGATAAAACTAAAATCTTGTCTATTTACATGTTCTCATAAGCATAAAGTTCATAGGCATCACATTCCTGTAATAGTTTTCATCAGACGGCCCTCTTCTTACAGGTCGACCTCCTCTAGAAGAAGTTTTGGAGGCGCGGAGGAAAAAGGTCTGAATTTAGTCTTCACTTTTCTTCATTTTCTATACGTACTAGAAAGTGAACATATTCTCAGGACGTTTTGCTCTTTAATAAGACGAGCAAATTTGCTTCCTGATAAATCACATCAGTGTGTTCTTTCTCGTTTTTCACCGTAGTGCATTTTTGATACACAGTTCTCTTTGAAATCCTTGAGCTTGAGATAACAGAGAAATTCTCTAATGTGTTACTTTCTTACTTCATAGGGAGAAATATGCGACAATACCAAGGCTTGTAAAATGTAGAAATGTTCCATGATAAAATCATCTAGGACATGGATCATGAAGATGGATCACTCCGTGGTTATGGCTTCTGTGTTCGACTTTACGTCTCACCTACAGCTCATGTCCTACGAGAACATGATAGACATGACAATTTCTTCGTAAGAATTATCTTTAATGGACAATTTCTCAATGTATCAACAGTAATGTTGCTCGATTATACTATGTACGTGTCGGTTTGTATGGATTTATACATATTCTTGATATACTTATTTGTTAAATGAAAAGCTATTTGAGGCCAGTACTTCATTCAGGGGTCTAAAGATTTTGCACTTGAAATGCCTGTTCGGATCAGATTTTTGCAGTAGAATTTGATAATGCATGTGCTCTAAGAAGTGATATTTAGTGGCCTTTTTCGCATTCTTTTGAGATTCACCTTGCAATGGGGATAAAAAGCAAAAAAAACATCATTTAAATTTACTCATAGATGGGGAAAAACACTTGTTAGAAAGACAGAGGTCATGGAAACGTGCAGCAAACATTCAACCCCTCCTCGTGTTTGGCAAAGCTTAAAAAGTTTACTTATAAGTATCAAAGTTCTAAAACTTATAATTGTTTTGATTGGTCTAAAGTGAATAATAAGTTAAGGCAAGAGTCAGTTTTAAATAAGTAACAGCAATTTACTATATAACAACAAATTGAGCTTTTTCCTGATAAATTTGGGTCAGTTAATCTGATTATTACCATACAAAGAAATGAGTACAAGAAATCCTCCGAATTCTACCTTCTTAATCATAGCAAAAACTACAAGCCTGTACCACAGCATCAATTTCCATCCAAAATGGACCGATCACCATTTCCATCAGCTTAAGAATTACTTATGAATGCTAACTTCGTGTTCGTTATTGAAAGGGGGTGGCACAATGATGTAGTGTGAGTTGATCAGCTGACTTTTATTTGCTGTTTTTGAACGTGTTAGCTGGTCCCTTAAAAAACGCACTTTTAATTTGCAAAACCGTGTTTCTCCTTTGGACCCTCATGATGATGCTATGTGTCAACTCCATGTCCATTGGATGATTGACCATTTGGTGACTCATATAAAAGAGAGTCCTAGGGTTTGAGACTCGATATATTTTTTTCATTCTTCTAGACTCTTCATTTTTACTCTGGCCGTTCGAGTTCATCTCCTTCTTCCTCTCTGAAAATCATCGAGCTCCTTGATTTTCAACACTTGCTCAAAACTGTTTTTATAATCTTGAGTGATTATCACTGAAAAGTGTACTGTGTTCTTGGGTGAATCGATTTGTGAAGTGAGAAGATTGTATCTTCTATGATCTTGGGTGATCTTTGGTCTGAGCGCGAAAACATCCTAATTTCTAAGCCTTGGTGTGTGATTAACACTCGCAGTGGTCTGATGGTGGAAGAAGCATCTTATTCATTGGCCGAATCTTCATCTTGTTACTGCCTTAGGGCACCTTTAATGAGATCTCCGATTTTGTATTTTAATACATTCATTACTGTATTTTTATTGTTGATTAAATCTAATATTATGGAACCTCCTCTTTACAGTGGTATCAGAGCTTTCGGACGGAGGTTCTTGACTCTAACTCGTGTAGATCTAAAACTGTGACACTTGCTTTAGCTAACCTTCGTTATTTCTTGAAACCCTATTGAAGGGATTTGGTGAGATTGTTCTAGTTTTCGATTACTACTACAAATTAATTGTATAAATTTTTGAGCTGCTGCTACTGTGATTTAATCTTGTGATCTGCGACTGCCTCGGTAATTCCTTTGTCCAGAAACCCTAAGAGTTCTCTGGAATCTGAGGGTTACCTTGACATAAGTCAAAGGTCTTGATCTTAACACTGCTGTGATACTGATTAGCATATAATCTTGGTTCTTGCTGCTCAAATGTGATTTGTGTTGTGAAAAACACGTTGTGACTCTTAGACTTTGAACAATTCCTGTGAAATAACTGAAGTACTTTACAACTTATGATTACTGTATATTCATGTCCCTTGAGTGGTGATACTTGAATTGATTTTCAGTTGTAAATAACTGTGAAGTGTCTATTTGGTCTGTACATTCTGGAACTACATTCAAATCTTTCTAAAATGACAAATACAAAATTTGAATTGGATGTTTTTAATGGCAAAGGAGACTTCAGTCTGTAGCGCCAGAAAATGAGGACAATTTTGTTACAACAAAAGTGTGCTAAAGCCATTGATGAAACATGGCTTGATGATTTAGAAGAAACCAAGAAAATTGAACTTGATGAAACTGCCTGGATTTCAATTTTTCTGCATTTATCTAATAATGTATTAAGAGAAATTGGCGAGACTAATACTGCTGCTGAGTTGTGGAAAAAGTTGGAAGATACATACTTGACTAAATCTATGCCAAATAAGGTGTATCTTCTGAAACAGTTCTTTGGTTTTAAACTTGACTCATCTCTTGACCTTGAGGCTAATATTGATAGATTTAATAGACTATCCCGTGACCTAGCCGACTGTGATGAGAAACTCTCAAAAGATCAGTTGGCTGTGGTCTTGTTAACTTCAATTAGTGATAAGTATAAAAATGTTAAAAATGCAATTGAATATGGGAGAGAAACTCTAACCACTGATGTGATTATTAATGCTTTAAGAAATAAGGAGTTAGAGTTAAAGTCTCATAGGAAAGAATCTATCAATGGGGAGAACTTGATGGCCAAGACTAGATCTAATCCTAAGACTATGAACTTTAACAAAAAACCTGGACATAAGAAAAAGACAAATCCGGAGGATAAAATGAAAATGAAGACTAAAGGAAAGAAGTGTTTCTATTGTCTAAATGAGGGTCATTTTATCAAAAATTGTCCCAAAAGAATTAGTGATTTCAAAAACCAATCTAAAGATGATGGTGGTGATAGGAAAGAATCTATCAAAGGGGAGAACTTGATGGCCAAGACTAGATCTAATCCTAAGACTATGAACTTTAACAAAAAACCTGGACATAAGAAAAAGACAAATCCGAAGGATAAAATGAAAATGAAGACTAAAGGAAAGAAGTGTTTATATTGTCTAAATGAGGGTCATTTTATCAAAAATTGTCCCAAAAGAATTAGTGATTTCAAAAACCAATCTAAAGATGATGGTGGTGCAACCTTAGCCTACAATAATGAGACCTTAATTGATGAAGTCTGTGTGGCTGTAAGCAGTTCACCTTGTCAAGAGTAGATTCTTGACTCTAGCTGCACCTACCATATGTGTCCAAACAAAAAATGGTTTACAGAGTTTGATAATGTAAAGGGTGGTAAGGTTTTAATGGGTAATCATATGACATGTCAGGTTAAAGGAATAGGAACAATTACCTTGAAAGTAAAAGGAAATAATAACCTGGTTTTGGAAAAGACTAGATATGTTCCTGATTTGCAAAGAAATCTAATTTCCTTAGGGGTTCTAGATGACCTAAACTATGACATATTGATTAATAAGGGATACATTAAAATCTTGAGGGGTTCACAAGAGACATGGCCTGTACATTTTACAAACTGAAATTTTTTTGGAGTCCACATCAGCAGCAATCTCAGTCCAAAATGACAAGTCACATATATGGCATAAAAGACTGGGCCATATTAGTGACAAAGGGCTACAGATTTTGAATAAACAGAGTGCCTTTGGAAAGGATAACATAGAAAAACTTAGTTTTTGTGACTATTACATTCTTGGAAAACATAATAGATTACCTTTCTGACCTGTAATGCATAAATCTGTGTCTATACTTGAATATTTGCATGCTGGTCTTTGGGGACCAGCTTCTGTAACAACTCATACTGATTTTAAATATTTTTTGTCAGTTATTGATGATTTTTCTAGAAAAAATTGGACTTTTCTTTTAAAATCAAAATCTGATACTTTTGGTATGTTCAAGAACTGGAAACTTTGATTGAAAACTAAACTGACAAAAATATTAAGGTATTAAGAACTGATAATGGTTTGGAATTCTGCAATTTTGAATTTGATGAGTTGTGCAAACTTTTTGGTATATTAAGACATCGTACAGTAGCACACACCCCACAACAAAATGGTTTGGCCGAAAGAATGAATAGTACAATTCTTGAGAAAGTGAGATGTATGCTCTTGAGTTCAACCTAAGATTTTCTGGGGGAAAGCTGTTAAAACTGCTAGTTATTTGATTAATAGAAGCCCTTCTAGTGCTATACACTTTAAAACCCCTGAAGAAATGTGGAATGGAAAACCTGTTGACTTCAGTAACTTGAGGGTATTTGGTTGTGCAGCTTTTGCACACTAATCTGAAGGAAAATTAGAACCCAGGGCCCTTAAATGTGTATTCTTGGGCTATAGTGAAGGGGTATAGGCTATGGGTAAGGGAAAACAAAGGCTATAAGATCATAATCAGTAGATATGTGATATTTAATGAAGATGATCTACCCTGCCCTAAATCTGAAGATAAAATAGAGCCCTTGAATCGAGATGAAAATGTGGAAAAGGGGGTTGAAATTGAGGTGGAGCAAATCACTTTAAACTCTCAAGTGAACAATGTCCTAAATCTAAAGAAGAATTTGAAAGGATGGCAAGAGTGCCATATTCTAATGCAATTGGGTCTGTCATGTACCTTATGGTTTGTTCTAGGCCTGATTTAGCATATTCTATAAGTGTTTTGAGTAGATATATGTCAAATCCAGGTGAAGCTCATTGGGAAGCCATGAAATGGCTTCTTAGATATATTAAAGGTACATCAGATTTAGGTACTCAGTTTAGAAAACAAACTGAAGGTGTTGTTTTGAGAGGATACACTGATTCAGACTATGCTGGTGATAGGGACAATAGGAAGTCAACTTCAGCCTATATGTATACTTTATGTAATTCTTGCATTAGCTGGAAATCACAGCTTCAAAAGATTGTTGCATTATCATCTACTGAAACTGAATATATTGCTGCAACAGATGCTATAAAAGAAGGAATATGGCTGAAAGGGTTATTAAATGAATTTGGTTTTGTTAAAGAAGTAGTTCTTTATTCTGATAGTCAGTCAGCCATTCATTTAAGTAGAAATCCAGTTTTACATAATAGATCTAAACATGTTGATGTTAGATTTCACTTTATAAGGGATATAATTTCACAAGGAGTTGTGAAAATTGAAAAAATTTTTACTAATTTTAACCCCGCTGATGCAGGTACAAAGTTGCTACCCCTTAACAAGTTCTTGGACTGCTTGAACATGTTAAACATCACTGCATGCTGATTTGAGTATCTAACATGAGTGCAATTGATGTTCAAAACTGGAAGCAACCCCACTGTTGAGTGTATGCGAATCATTGTACCAAGGTGGAGATTGAAAGGGTGTGGCACAATGATGTAGTGTGAGTTGATCAGCTGACTTTTATTTGCTGTTTTTGAACGTGTTAGCTAGTCCCTTAAAAAACGCACTTTTAATTTGCAAAACCGTGTTTCTCCTTTGGACCCTCATGATGATGCCATGTGTCAACTCCATGTCCATTGGATGATTGACCATTTGGTGACTCATATAAAAGAGAGTCCTAGGGTTTGAGACTCTATATATTTTTTTCATTCTTCTAGACTCTTCATTTTTACTCTGGCCGTTCGAGTTCATCTCCTTCTTCCTCTCTGAAAATCATCGATCTCCTTGATTTTCAACACTTGCTCAAAACTGTTTTTGTAATCTTGAGTGATTATCACTGAGAAGTGTACTGTGTTCTTGGGTGAACCGATTTGTGAAGTGAGAAGATTGTATCTTCTATGATCTTGGGTGATCTTTGGTCTGAGTGCGAAAACATCCTAATTTCTAAGCCTTGGTGTGTGATTAACACTCGCAGTGGTCTGATGGTGGAAGAAGCATCTTATTCATTAGCCGAATCTTCATCTTGTTACTGCCTTAGGGCACCTTTAATGAGATCTCCGATTTTGTGTTTTAATACATTCATTACTGTATTTTCATTGTTGATTAAATCTAATATTGTGGAACCTCCTCTTTACATCATGCACTAATTGTGTACTGAACATCTACTGAATCAACTTGCTAGGCATTTCCGTACAATCTTCCATCCCAACTCCCACAAAAAGTTGCCTTGGAACTATATCAGGCACATAAAAACCTAAAGCACTTAGAAATGAAGAGGCTAATTGAAGCTAAGAATTCTTTCTTGAATCGACTTTGCATGCCAAGTTCGACACAGGAAGAATTCCAGCAATTGTCATCTCATAGAGCACGAACTAGTTTCCATTACAAGTCCAATTCAACTTTCTCATAGCCATTCCCCTCTAGCATTTGCATAATATAAATATCTCCAAGAACACACTCCATTTAATGGGAAAGAACGAGAAAAAACTTGCAAGTTTCCCATCGTTGGTAAAGTCTCTAACCCGAAGTGCATTTTTTCTTTCATGGCTTATGAGATAAAAGACTTATTGACCTCCAACGTGTATATCTATATGCATTTGATGCAAATCCAATTCCAAAGTTTGTTGCTTTTCTTCAATTGCAAATGTTGCAAAAAAGAAGGCTAGAAACACTGGTGGTCACTGAACTTAATAAAACTTCATGTTGTCATTGAACTATATTGGTTTCCAAATTGGTCACTTTTTTTGAACTTTTTCTCAAGTTGGTTAAACATTGGTTACAATTTGGTGATTCTATCCATTGCCCTTAGTTTGACAACTGGAAAAGCTGATGTGGTAGGCTCGTTGGCAAATAACTAAACTGCCACGTCACATTTTCCAGCAGTCAGATCGACAAAACTATATAGCGACCAACTAGAAAAAAAATTCAAGTTAGTGACCAACTAGAAACAAAATGAAATTTAGTCGTCAACATGAAATTTCACTAAGAGTTTAGTCAACACCAATATATTTAACCTTCTAAAAGAACCTTCAAATGCAACCTAGCCTCTGCCTTTTCCGAACCTGACAATCTCCTAGAGACGCAACCTTTTTTCTTACACGAAACAACCATTGTAGAGTAATAACAGCACCAACAAAGCCAATACTTCCAGCAGTACTTTGTTGATCAGGATGCGATTCAACCCTAGGGATCTCGGGAACGTTGTTATTGCTGAAAATAAGAGATAATAGAGGTTCATTGTCCCCAAAATTTTCCAACAGATGATCAAAATCCAACATTGAGCAACTTGGGCCCTCCCCTGGAGCCCCTAGAGGCAGTTCATGTGAGTATTCAACATTTTTGGAGCTGGCCGAGCCAAAATTACAGGAAATATTAGAATGAATGATAGATGGACCGATTCCCTGAGATGAGGTAACTGGCAGTGTAGGATCGTTTCGATCATTATTTTCAATGACGCTGCAACTACAGCCATCAAGACCGTCCAGCCCAGAGGAGTTGACATTGTTATCGTTTGATATGCATGGAAACTGATGCAAAAAAGAAGTTTCATCATCGAAAGAGATTACATCCATCCGATTTTCAAAAGCAGATGCTAGTAACTTCTGTGCCTCAGCCTATAAAATATGACTCTTAACTCATTAGAATCAGACTGTTAGGGAGAAAACATTTGTTACCCTACAAAGAAAGAGCAAGCAAATGATTGGAGAAAGGCAGACCTTTTCAGCCTCACATGCACTTTTAATGGGAACAAACTGGCAGTTACGTAGTACCCCTTTCAGTTGTCCCACAGTATCAGAAACTACACCTTTTTTATATTCAGCTGAAGAGTTGTAGAAGTATATCCTTCTATCGTCAATGGTGCATCGAAGAGCATGATCTACAATGGTCTTCCATGTCTTAGAACCTGCACCAATTATCTGTACGCATCTCGAAAAAATTTATTCGACTATTATTCCAAATTATAGAGAGTCAATTCAGATGTATAATTTAAATTGATAATATATGAAAGAAATAAATTCAGAGAAATAATATGAAATTAATAGTCTAAGCTACAATGTAATGTATAATTTCCTAATTATATTAAGACTATAATCGTCACTTCAATCGTAATCAAGAGAAAATTTGGAAGTCATAAATTTTCATATAAAACAACCTACACCTTGTACTCGACCACTTTAGGATTAGCTGCAAGAATCCTTGTTTAATACTTCCTTTGATTCGTCGGTATAGGAATGGATGGAGCTTAGAACATGTTTAACTTACCTCGGGAGATATAGTTAAATGAAAATTGAATGATTGATTGTCATGAATACACAAATCACACTAAATTATATAGGTCGAGAATTGAAATATGATAATAATAGGTGGATTCAAATTTCAACACATTCATCTCATATTTTAGATAAATATAATCTTAATTAATTAGTATATTAATTTAAAATAACTAAAATAAATCTCTTTTGTCACATACATTCGAATTTGATAACGGATTAATAAAATTCAATTTAAGGTTTTTTTGGTGTAGGACAATACTAACTCACTAATATTACTATTACTTGTCAACGATATCGCAAGCTTGGGGGATTCACACGAACAACTAGGTTGTTGCACCCTCTCTTTTCTAACTTATTCTACTAGATTTGCACTGCTCTTGTGAATGGAAGCTTCTAAGTCCAAGCAAAACAAATACTAACGGCCTAAGACGTTGTTCCCTTAATTTATCCTTAATCAATGTCAAGTATCAACTCTAGTTATTGGCGCATATAATAATTTATTATCTTAAGATTTCCTTTCTGATGTGTTTATCCTATGGACATTTTGTTTACCTATATGAAATATCATAAAGCATAATGCGTATGATAATTGTTTGGAAGAATTTGCCCTTTAATCTTACAGGGATGTACCTATCACGTAGAGTCTGTTTAACACTTCTCCATTTCAATCAACTCAATTTAGTTATATGCATAATACTTTTTTCAGGACCTCCTTTGTTAGTTGTAAAATCTAAGTACATGACAATGCATCTTTATTCCTACTATCAATAATAGATGACAAATATTCATTTCCTTTCTTATTCAGCCTTCGTCTGAGCCCTATTACTTTAAAGCTCATTTTTTTTTTATAAAAAACTAATTTCTAATCACACATTCTCTCAATAAAATAATTTTACGCGTAAACTTAAAACATCTCTCTAATTTTTAATCACATGTTCTCCAAAAAATTGCTATTACAAAATCTAGTCCCTGTATAGTAAGGATTAAAATATAGATTTCAATCTAAATCAAAGACAAAGATTAATTTTAACCACATCGTTCATAGGACCCACAACTTTCCAACCATGCATTTCATCAACTCTTATCAAAATCTATTAAAAATCTAATTTTAATCCCCACCAAACAATGGCCTATTCTTTGAAAAAATGGTGCTCAAACAAGCCCTCAATTATCTTGCTAGAGACTGCCTTTTTCTGATGCCCAATTTTGCAAGATTTTTTGTCACCAATTCGTGGGCCCTTAAACAATTAAATATAATTTCTCGGCAGACCAATTATGACAAAATGGATATCTTTCTTCCATGTCATCATGCACTAATTGTGTTCAAAGACTGTTTTATCCTTTGGAAAAAATAATTTACTTCCACGCTCACAGCACAAGCATAGAATGGGTAATGAAAGGAAGCGTGAATGATGGGTTGTCCTTCAACCGTCTGACTTTTCTTGGACACAATTTTTTAATTCAAATTCCACTTTCAAACTATCAGATTCTGATACTAATCTGATTAGTATCAGAACCAAACAGGGACTATACTAATATTCTACAATAGATTACCAAAAAAGACTATGCAAAAAATTCGAAATACGTGTATTTTAAGTAAATAAAACACGTGCATACGTGGAGACATCATAAATGAGTAAAAATTTGGCCATGAATCTATCAATAAGGGGCAAGTTAACTGCCTCATTGCTTCTATAGAGAGGATGACCAAAACAAACAGATTGGTGTTTGATAGGTTCAAATGTAAACAAACTTATATATCCAAAACAAGCAACTAATATTAAGTGCTTTTTACTCAATATGTGCAAATAGAATAAGCAAAAGCTGACTGCATGAGTAAAAAGCATTGCAAGGTTAAACAAAAGGGGATAGTGTATTGATCAATACCTTTTGGAGCCTTTGACGATCAACTGAGAGTAAAAACAAAAATTCCTGTACTGTGGAAATATTTGCCTGACACAGACGCTTATATGGAGCTCCGTATTTACCAATGTTGTCTAATCTCCATACAGGATCAGAAAGAGATGGTAGGTAGTGCTTCTCATACACTGCAAAACAGAAACCAGCAGTTATACTGATTTCTTTATCCTCATTTATGAAATGTCAATCAAATGCCATGGAATTTCGATGATTTACCCCCACCAAGTCTTGCTTATATTTTGATAGATCTAGCTACACAAATAAAGAGGAGACTAGCAGGGCAACGACCTGGTTAGATTGCTAGGAGAAAAAGACTAAGTGCTTGTTTGGAATATTTTAAAATGTGATTATAATGAAGAGGAGTAATGGGTCCCACGAATTTAGTGGATAATAAGTGGATAGTAGTTATGAATGTACGGTTAAATTTATTTTTTGACTTTGAATTTAAATTATAAGGAGACTATAAAGGACACAGACAAGCACATTATTGATATATGCATTTATGAATGAGATAACATAAGGTGAATTGGATTCGAAAACTAAAACAAGTTAAAAATCTCATCTATTGTATAGTCGAGTTGAATCCTATTTAATACTATGTACCGAATATGTTGTCTATGTTATAGCACATAATAAATTCTTAAGGAAACCAGAAGACTTATCAGAGTAAGTGCTACCTACATTTGCCGCGGCTATCTTGGACCATAAATGACTTTGTCCATGCTTCTTTCACAGTACATCCATCAAATATATCCACAACTCTTGCCCCTAGTCTGCATTTGCAATTCTTCATCCAGCGTGCATCATGTCCTAACCTGACATCAGACAAAATACCAATGCCTTTCTTGAGACATATATAAACAGGTTTAGGAAAATGGGGCTTTGTCTTCTCATTTTCTCTAATGATGCTATTACTGAAGTCTTTAAGACTCCCATTGAGTGCATAATCATTAGGACCAGCCTCGAGAACTAATATCTCCACCTTTGCTGAGGCTTCAGGCCCAGAGATGACACGAAGCCCAGTTACATTATCAACTAGAGAAACTTGAATGTGAGTCCCTTCTTGTCCTTTAATTTCCTTCCCTGTCAAAACTGGATCAGACACTTCGTCTAAGAATTTCAGCTCTAAATTTCTTGGTCTTGGCGTAATAGCCTTGTCCAAAGAGTTCCTGAATATGACACAAGAGATTTGTTGGCAATGATTATAAGAACTGTGGCGCGCACGCACGCACACACACACGCACGCACATGCACATGCACACACACACACACACATGTATTATGTATATGTATATAAAGGGGGCCTTATATAGATTCTTTTTATATAGGTATGTGCTTTCGGCTCCATCATTTTCTCGGAAAAATGATCAAATCTGTAACATAAGTCCTCACTGATTCTGGTCAGTCAAGAACTTTTCCTGTGCCAATTGAATTTGCTCTTTTACCTGCAGAGAATGAAAAATTTATTAATTGTCAAACCACCAGAATTACAGAAAGCAATTATTAGCACAAAGATTTGCCTTAATTCAAGGTCAAAGGAAGATAGATCACAAGTCACTTTCACAATTATGAAGAAAGCAAACTGGTTATGACAGATCTTGATGGTGGTACTTAAACCATGCTACATAGTCCACCAAGTCATGTATAGGATAACCAAGGTACTACAAATATTATGCTCTTTGTTTTTCCACGATCTTGCCCAACACACATATTCATATAAGAGCCTCATTTTCAGTAACACAACATGTAGTGCCACAGTAAGAAAATTTTCACCAAATAATGTCAATTTTTTATTGATCCGCCCATATTATCAAATCTTAGTCGGGTCGCTTGGATAAGAAAACTAGTCAAACGGATAAGATTTATTGGACATGTCAACAAAGAATAACTGAATGAACACCTACGGTACTCAGCTAATACACCTAACTGCTACACAAATATGGCTCTAAACACACTGGAATTTAGCATTACCCATAATTTCTAATTTCCATTTATATAAAACTAATAAGAAGTTGAAACATACTTTGCAAGGATCTTGTTCATAAGAATCAAGCAATGTAGCTAGAACATGACAGAATACTTGGGTGTAGAACAAACCTAATGTGATATGTGGCAGTTGCTAAGGATTCGGTTGTTTTAAATCTCTCTCTAGATTTAGCAATGAAACGAACACGACAATCAAAAAATATTAGACTTGAAATTTATTGAGAAAAAGGCTTAGTTTGTTATTTTCGGATCGAACTGTAGAGTGCAATACAATAATTGAAATGTCAATTGTCTAAACAAATTGGCTTCAACCAATGTAATTAGTTGAATGGTTTAAAGTTGTACAACCTTTACGTGATTAATAGGATAGAACATCAAATATAATGCTAGAATTATACATCAAGAGTCCCCGAATAATGCTATTTGTATATAATGGAGTTACATAATGGTTTACATAGAGATTAGGTGTCAAAAAAAGTAGGGAAATTTTTTATTATTATTATTATTTTTTATTTATTTATTTATTATTATTATTTTTTTTGTGAAGAAATCCTGACACAATCATATCACCACATCATTGTATGGAAGCCATTAAAAACATGTAGCACAACCGAAAATCTCCATCCCTTCCCCAGTACAAAAACCGATATGGATCATCTATTCACAAGAATCATACAAAAATAATTAGTTCTTACAAAAACAACCGAATTGCAAGGAAACAACCATTTGAGCATGAAAACATAAATGTTCAGAAAAAATCACACAAAAACATGCTAGATATGATCAGAAGATTCATTGTTTGCACTCACCACTTTCCGAATCATATCCTCAAAAATAGGCCTTATAACTTGCTGAACCGTATGGATCACCATCACCTCCACTTCCTTTTTCATCCTAAAACCAAGAGAGAGAAAAACAAAGATAGCAAAGAGGAAATTTATATTAAGAACAAGGAACCATCAACATAAATACCAAACACAGAAATTTCAACGACGATTTAAAGCAAATAAGCAGAACCCATATCAGTTCTGAACTTTATTTTCCAAATTCAAGCCATCTCCAACCTTGCACCAAAATTTGCACCATTTTGTATCAAATCTTGCATCAGACTAAAAATTATCTCTAACCATTACACCAAAACTTACACCAAATGAGTAATGTTTAATTAGTTTTTTCTCTTTTTTTATTCTTAATAATTTAAATTATTTGAGAATTTACTTATTTATTTATTTTAAAAATGCATAAATTACTAAATAAATAATTACATTAAATTAAGGAAAAGATTAAATTCATTAATAAATATAAAACAAACATAGTACAATTAGTAGAAACACTACAAAAATGAAAACATTAAATCATACCATTAAAAAAATGAAAATATTAAATCAAACAACTACAACAACTATAACAATAATAATAATAATAAATTATTATTATTATTAAAAAATATCTAACACAGTGGATACAAATGCCCTCCATTGATTACTTTGGCAAATGGGAAAAAAGGACAAATTTGACTTTACTTTGGTGCCGGAGAGCTTCACCAAATGGTGTTTTGGTGTAGCACTGGAGATGCCTCAGCCAAGAAATGCTTATAATTCGAAAAGATATACTAGGAAAATTGAGAACAAGAAACAATCAACATCAATACCAAACAATTAAGCAAATTCAACGAAAATCCAAAGCAATTAAGAAGTACCCATATCAATTCTCGACTTAATTTACCAAAATAAGCCAAGAAATGCATATAACTTGAAAAGCTCTACGAACGAAATCAAAACAGAACATCCATTGACTTACTTTCTTAAAGTCATAACTATTCGCTCATCATCAGAACTGTTTCCCTGTTCTGATTCACCGTTATGAGGGCCCTCTATCTGTAGATTAAGCTGCATTTTCCCCACCCAATCTTGATTAGAAGATAAAGCTTAATGATAGCAAATAATAGTTTGTATCTATAGAGTATAGACTATAAGACTTAACTAGAATTCTTGTTTTCGAAAGTTCTTAAATAACATTGATTGGGGCCCAGAAATGCGTGTTTTCATGGTTAACTCGTAACATAATAATCTATACGGGGACACACACCACAACACTAATTTTGTGGAGGTGCTGGGATTGGATTTGTCCTTGTCGTCTATCCAAAAATTCATTTTGTCAAATTTGTTACTCGTTTTCAGAAGTCAATTTTTTCACTTTTTCCTCTCTAAATACGTATGGGTAATATATAGGCAAATCAAGATGATTTTAGTACTGATTGAGACATAGTTCACGCGGGTTTAGAGACTTGTCATTAGTTAAGGTCAAAAGAAGAGCATATATCATAGAAATATATTAGAAATGAGTCAGATTTCGTGACAAGTATGGAATGTGCATAAAATTAATTTTCGAGTTTTGAGTTACAAACAAATGCTTGTTATGCGTTAAGAACAAAATAAAGAGAACTGACATTATAAATAAATATGATCATACGAGCTTCGAGTACATAACGAATATGGTATCTTCACCAAACTAATTTTGGAGTATTGAATTGTATATAAAGTCTTGTTATTGTGGACAAAACAATCAAGGAGAATATATTTTAGAAATAGATATGTTCAAAGCCAACTTAATATATCATAAGAATTTTATTGCAATATTTTTTTTTAGTTGGTTTGACATCGAGAATGAAAAAACGACAAGTCTTAAATAATCTCATCAAAAAGTTTTAAACAGTTGAAAAAGAGATATATTTGTTTATTTCAATTTCATCTTGAATGTATATTCTCATGTATATGGATTTATCATAAGAATTTTTATTACAATATTTTTGTTTAGGTGGTTTGATATCGAGTATGAAAAAAGACGAAGTCTTAAATAATCTCATCAAAAAGTTTTAAACAGTTGAAAAAGAGATATATTTGTTTATTTCAATTTCATCTTGAATGTATATTCTCATGTATATGTTAGGTTCATTTTTTTCGCTATATGTTAATGCGCACACAATTATAAATGTATAGCTTGTTTCATTAAAAAATTTAAAAGGTTGAGATACAATTATTTTTGAGTATTGGATGCTATATAATTGGGAGAATTTAGCTCATGTTTGTCAAAAATTATAATTGCTTCTAATTTGATTAAACCCTATTTTTATTCATACATTTTGTAGAATCTACAATTTTTATTTTCTTAGCTATCAATTATAATTTTGGGCAAATGTCGATCATAAACCTCCTTGAGATTTATGATAATTTCGGAGACATCCTTATAGTTTTAAAAATTACAGAAACATCCCATAAGGTTTTGTTTTCAATAATTAGCCAAAGCATTTTATTTATTTATTATATCCTTAGTTATTTATAATTTAATTTTTAGCTCTAATTGAATGAAATTTTACTATACTTGTTTGTCCTTTTTTCTCATTTCTGAATATTTCTTGTTTAAATGCTAACGATACTTTTAGATAAAATAAAAATATTATTAAATTTATGTAATAATGTTTGAATAAAATCATAATTTCTTTGAATTTTATTTTTGTACTCGTAATAGTTGTAGACATAGTAATAGGATGGGCAAGCCAGGGCAAGGATCCTCGCCGTCTGCCTTGCCAAGAATTTTTGGACACTGGGTGGGAACGAGGTGACAGCAAAGTAGACAGGGACCACCACTTTATTATTTTATTTTTTAAAATATAATTTACTTTAAAAATATAAAATAAATAATAATCAAGGTGAGGCAATGCAGGACATGATAGGACAAGAAATTTTGTCATACCTACACAATAACTCTATATTGAGTTTGAAATGTTATTGTTGTAGTACAAAAAATAACAATAAATATTGAAAATTAGTAAAAAAATCGTTGAAAAATAAAGCAAGTACTATATATATATATAAGGAAAGATAAAAAAATAAAAAAGGAAAGAGTATAGAAAATATTTTCACTTGTATTATTCATCCTTGCTCAAAAACTATTTATAAGCTAATTACAATTCCTCATGAGTTACAAGATAATGAATCCTACAAAAGTAACTCATATAGGTTACAAGTAAGAATAAAGATGGGTTTATGATAAATTGAATACTTTAAATGGAATTAATATGGATCATGTAATATATAATATAATATTTAGAAACACTTCCCTATTGAAGGTCTATTTATAAATAATATGCCTCATTAAAATATTACTATGAAAAACTATGTGGAAAAAGCATTAAAGAAAAAATGATTACATCATTCTTTGGGATACGTTTACGAGAATTGATTCATTAAAAACATTATCAGAAAGATCTAATAAGACAAATCATCGATCAAGAAAAAATGAATATTGTGTGTATTTACTCCCTCTTATAGTAACATCAGTTGATATCATTAAATCATTCATACCAACTTTGTGTATCGACATCTTCAATGTTGCTATAATTATGCCTTTCTCGATGGGCCCCGACATTCATGCATAAATAACTTGCTTAAGATCGAGCTTTGTGTGCATCATATCAATATACCAAGATAAGTCAATGTCAATCATTTTTGGAGATAACAAAATAGGGAAAATTTCATAATACCGATACTAACTTTGGCACAATTCAAAAATAAGGTAACAGGTTTACATTTTCTGAAATCAGATATCATATAAAACTGTATGTCAAAATCTCTTTCCAAATCAGTGTCCTAAAAACTAGGAACGTATCTCCATCAACGCTAGTCTGTATCATAACAGATTCACATCCCTAAAATAAAATGTTTCATCTCCAAGCTGACGACAAAAAAATTGAAATTGCTTTTTTATTGTTCACGGAATTCCTTCGATTGACGTCGATCGCATAATCCAGGTCACAGTTGGGAAAAGACGATCGCTTAACAGCAGATTGACTAACGGATTCGTCTGAACAGCATCTAATTTAGCAACCGTCGTCGAATTCAGAGGTTTCGATTTTTATCGGGTACGACTGTGTGAGCTGTATTTACTCAATATGTAACGTGAAATAAAAGTTGTCACGCATTTGTTGTAACCTGCAGTCTGTATATTGTAATGTGCATTTCTAATGCTGTGGCTTGTGGGCTCTTGTGCTCTGCATTCACAAAATGAATACATGTCGTACATAGTGTCAGCACCTAACACGAACTGAATACTGTGACGCGTTTCCTTTGACCCACGGTTAGTATGTCATAATATACAGCTTGCAGTCCAAAATGCGACGCATTCACTGTGATGTAATCGCTCGCTGTGATATGTGAATTATGACTGTGATCTTAATTGCATTAGAATTGGTGACGCATTTGCTGTCGTCTGCGTATTGCGACTCCTTTTCAATATCTGTGACATAATGCTCTGATCTGTTCTCCATTTGCATTTGAAACTTTGACTTATTTGCTGTAATAACCGTATTGTACTCCATTTGAATCTTTGACAGATATGTGACATGATGCCGTGACCTGTTCACGATTTGCAATGAAATTGCGACGAATTTGTTGTTATCCGCAAATTGTGACTCCATGTCCTAATCTGCGATATTCATTTGTTGTAACCTAAACCTTGTTTTGTGGTTGACATTATTCTAGTTGGTGTTGCAGAAATGGGATACATACACGTTTGCTTATTGAATGGCTCAGAGCCTTCGTTGGTCTTAATCGATCGTAATTGCGGGTATATGTAACTGGTGGATACAGTTATAGCTGAGATTGGATTGGATCCCACTAAAGTCGCAATCACAATGAAGTATGTTTTGAATAGTGAACTGCCTCCAATTGTGATCAAGAATGACAATAATGTGATGTCATACATGGCGTTGAAAGATATGGATCGTGACCCATCCAAATATCCAATATCATTGAGGTCACGAAAGAAAATAGCCAACAGAATAATGCAATGTTACCATTTGGTGTGCAACCCAGTGGACCGAAATTTTCATTGATGGATATGTCATCAAATATATGCGGGGTGATAATAGAACCGTTGTGTGACAATTATGAGCATGAGGTCACGGTTGTATCGGTCGCCAACGCTAAGGACGTAGAGATGGGAAGGGCTTTTCGTAACAAAGAGATCATGAAGCTGAGCTTTTCCTTTTATGCGATCCAAAACATGTTTGAATATGTAGTTGTTCGGTCAAATAAGAAGGACTATCTTATCAAGTGTTCACATGACGAGTGTGATTGGATATGTAGAGTATCTAGGATGGCCAGAACAGAGTTGTTTAAAATTAGGCATATTGTAGAAGGTCACAGATGTGCTTCTAACATTGTACTTGGTTCTCATAGGCAAGTAACAAAAGCACTTGTGTTGCACTGCATAAAATACAAGTACACATCGTCACACGCTCTGTATACCCCGAATGATATACGTAATGACGTGTTGCATACGTATGGAGTATCGTTGAACTATGTGAAACGTGGAGGTCTCGGGAGGAAACTTTGAAACTAATTAGGGGTGATCCGGCAGATTCTTTTATAATATACCAAGATTCTTTGCCATGTTGCAACATACAAATCCTGGAACGGTCACAGATCTGGAGCTTGATGGTAACAGTAGGTTCAAATATTGCTTCATAGCGCTAAGCTCATCAATTCGAGGTTGGGGACATTGTAGGCCGGTTGTTGTGGTTGATGGCACGCACTTAAATGGACACTATGGTGGGACGTTATTTATAGCATGTACACAGGATGTAAATAACAACATATACATACTTGCTTTTGGGATTGGGGATAATGAGAATGATGCCTCGTGGACATGGTTCTCCGAAAACTTGAGGAAGGCGTATGGCTATAGAGAAGGGTTGTGCTTTGTATCGAATCACCATAATAGCATCAAAAATGCTATTGAGAAGGTGTATCTAGGAACATGTCATGGAATTTGTTCGAATCATCTCCTTCAAAATCTAAAGTCACGTTATGAAAAATCAAGTAACAATATAACACAAACATTTAATTCAGTTGTTCATGCCTACACGTTGTCAGAATACAAATATAACATGCAACAGCTCGACGCGATTAATGGAAAGATAAGGGGTTACCTGGTAATACATTACATATTACCACCAAATTATATTCTTGTGCATACATTTATTACGGTATTGTGAAATATATCATTAACAGATAATCATGTTTATGTTTGTAGGACGGTGTTGGGCCTACTAAATGGTCACGATTCCACATGCCAACGAATCGATGTTCTACAATGACATCGAATATAGTAGAGTCGGTTAATGCGGTCACAAAATCTGTCAAGAACTATTCCATCGTAGCTTTGTTGGAGTTATTGCAACAAACCATACAGTCGTGGTTTTGTAGACATCGAGAAATCGTGCAAGCCACTTTCACAACCTTGTCAAACAAGTATGAGAAGCAAATGAGGGAAATGAGCACGGATATGAGAAACTTGAGGGTAATGTCAACATTTGTGCCTGAAATGTTATCTGTGACCTGTAACTTGTTCGTTGTGGTCAACTTCTTAGTGACATTTGTTATATTATTTTTTGGTTGTAGGTTACGCGTATTAATCAGGCAATGTTCTCAGCCAGCTGTGAAAATTTAACTTTTGTTGTTGATATAAAAGGGCGTACATGCATGTGTAGGATGCTTCAAGTTGATCAACTACCGTATCCACACGCTCTGGCTGTGATTGCAAGTGTGAAGAGGGATTCATATGAGTTTTGTTCATATTATTACACGAAAGAAGCATACAAGAATACTTACAACGAAACTGTTTTCCCTGTTGGAAATCCAAGTGAATAGATAGTGCCCAAAGACTTCGAGAACATAGTTGTGTTACCACCTAATCAAAAGTGAAGTTGCGAAAGGCCTATTGAGAAGAGGTTTAGATCAGCAGTTGAAGATAACATAACTGTCAAATGCAATCATTGCGGTGAAAGTGGTCACAATCGCAGAACTTGCTGCGGTTTGGTTCCATTTAATCAGATTCAATCGAAAAAATAAAGAAAAGTTAAGGAAGTCAATTGATGATACATATCACAGAACTTGCAACGGTTTGGTTCCGTTAAGACAGTTGGTTTACTTTTTCATTCAGTGTTTGAAAATAATATCGGACACAATTTGTGAGAGGACACAAATATTCATTTAATAACAACATTTCCAAGTTCAAACCTTATAATAAGGATGTTTTACTATTGTACTTGTAATGTTCTTTCCACATGAACACATTTTTAAATACAGGCAAACATGACAGGTAGGGATTGGGTATAGCCTGAAAGAACCTGTGACGTGTGTTGTGACCATTATAGTGCGACCTGTCACCAGGGGGGGTGTTACATTCACTTCATTACAAACGAGTGTGGGGTGTCACATGTAAAAAATGGTCTGTTAGCTGTTATGTGAACCTGAAACATTGACATGTGACCTTTGCAACGAACTATGGTTGTGCACAAAGAATATTATACTTATTATGATATGTTCGGTGACTTTTTATGAGACATGTCACCCGTACTGTGACCCATTCGCAAGACACTGTGCATAAGGAATTGGAACATGTGATCTCTGCTATGACATGTTTCTAGTTGCCTGTGACCTTTGCAACGAATTATGATTGTACACAAAGAATATTATACTTATTGTGACATGTTCAATGACTTTTTATGTGACATGTGACCCGTTCGCAAGACACTGTGCATAAGGAATTGGAACATGTGATCTCTGCTGTAACCTATTTTCAGTTGTTTGTGATATGAACAATATACATTAAACTGTGACCTGGTCAGTGACCTTTGAAATGAACTGTGATGTTGCAATAAGAACAAGAAATAACTGAGACCTACTGTACGATATGTGATCTTTTTCGTGACATTTTCTGCAACATGTGACCTTTGGTGTGACCTGTTCACAATAGGATCTAACTAAATCATGGAATCCTTTGACATTTGTTGCGACATGTTATCCAGTTAAAATAATATGGAACACGTTACACATATCTCATGCCAAATAATACATTCAAAACATAATTTCAAGACACATGAAATCAAAAACTCAAACAATTGTTTAATTAATGTTGCTTAAATCCAATACAAAAGAGTATCCCCAGAACAAAATACCCTTGTTCAAAGCAAACAAAAAAATTATCCATTACCACACTTTACATTCCATTCCATTCTACTGCATTTTCAGACTACACCCCAAATGTCACTCAATAACTATACTATCTCCACCGGTTGGCAGGAACGTCTTTCTCTCTGTACTGATTTCACGGTGCTTGAATAACAATGATGCAACATCTAGCCGTGCTCTAGCCGCATCAAATTTCATCGGCATTGATCCTAAATCGTCATGCAGCATGTACTTGGCATATTTAATCACATATATGCCACAGTTATGCCTGCAAAATGAAAAAAATTACAGTCCATTATGTGTAGAATCATAATATAACAGTATGTTTAAATTCTCGGTGACAAAAATTACCCGTTATTCTGTTGTGGAACGGAGGAATTAAACACCACCTTCAACTCCTTGGAATCGTCAGCAGATGGATCCGAATCCTTTCTCCAAATTCTAATACGGTCCATGAGGTGAGGGATTATTTTGACGAAAGGATCAATTCCAATAAGGACCTTGGTGTTATTGTATGTCTTCCTTACCGAATTTAATACAAGTAAGGTCTGCTTTTTAATATCAAGCACTGCAAGCATCCAATGCCCTTTGTTTGTAGGCAGAATGGGCATGAACACAAGGTCCACTTCTGCCCAAGGTTTGCTCAGTGGAATTCGTACACTTGTGATGCCGGCAATGAGTCTCTCATCCGTGACAATGACCTCTGGATCTTGCTTGAATTTGTGGTACATTTTCTTCAGCTTGGCTTGAAACAACGTGTCGGTCGTGGTGGCGATGACTTTGATGTTTTTACCACTACTTGCTAACTGACGTATGTAGTAGAAGCACACATTCATATGCTAAAAAAATGGAAAACTGTAAGATTGAATTAAAATATAAATTGTGCAGGGTGAAATGTGACCAGAAAATATGCTTGAGTGCACTCTATAAATTGACTGTGACCTATTCACCTTTATCTATGACCAACCTCAAATGATCTGTGACCATTACATGTGACCTGTTATGCATACAAAAAATGTGACCTACATTGGGACATACGAACCATGCGTATGGCATTGCGAACTTTATAGACACTGGAATGTAAGAGGGAGGGATGTGGGCAGTGACATATAGGTAGTTGGTTGTGACCATGACCATGGAATCTATGACATACTCATATGAATTGAGACTTCTAAAGAGATACATACCGAACAACTCAATGACCCATATCTAGACACAAGTTCGTACCACCATCTTTTAAATTGTGCAGGGTGAAATGTGACCAGAAAATATGCTTGAGTGCACTTTGTATATTAATTGTGACCTATTCACCTTTATCTGTGACCATTACATGTGAACTGTTATGCATACAAAAAATGTGACCAGCATTGGGACATATGAACCATGCGCATGGCATTGCGAACTTTATAGACACTGAAATGTAAGAGGGAGGTGGGCAGTGACATATAGGTACTTGGCTGTGACCATGACCATAGAATCTATGACCTACTCTTATGAATTGAGACTTACAAAAGGATTCATACCGAACTACTCAGTGACACATCCCTAGACACAAGTTCGTACCACCATGTTTTATTTCTGACAACAAACTGACCAACAAGAAAAGGTGGACAAATATGATCATCTCGGTCATTAAACTTTTTCCTGCAAAGAAAACTTAATTGGCTATTCATAAACAAACTAATTATAATGATATGCAAAAAATAATTCATACTTGTTATGTGGCTTATATCCTCTCTGGAACCAATTCTGAAAGTTAGCAATATCGGCATGGTTCGCAGACTGATTGTAGTGTTGGAAGATTACGACATTACTTGAATGCTTAATTTGCTTCCCTTCATGAACATGCAGAGATTGAAGTGCTTTAGCCTGCCTAGGAGCCCTCTTAACGGACAATCCAGAACATGGCGAAGAAACAGGAGACTCCTGCATATTAATTTGATATGGACTGTGACTTGCTGTAACATGCAACGTACAGTAGTTTACATATCTGACAGAATTATCTGGGCTTACCACCTTCTCAGCAGATTTCGTATCCTTCAGAACATCATATACGACAAACTCAACATACGTTTCCATCTTTTTCGATTTCGTTGGTTCTATGGGTGTTGGTTGCGTGAAACAAACACCCAGATTGAAGGATGGAGGTTGTAAGCTATATGAAAATTCAACGTCAACGACGGTTTCCATCTTACCCTTACCTTTAGAATCAACTGTTATTTCCGCATCTCCAACCTGTAACATAAAATGTATAATCATAGTTAAAGTTCATACGACAAATGAACATATATCATTTTATGAGATCACATGGTATGTTGATTACCTTGTCCAAAGTTTCATAATCTCCGACAATGTTTAACCCAGATTTCTCTCTGAATTTGGTCAAGATTTCTTCCTTGGAACTAGAAATCAAGGCGGCGATGGATTCGGTCATAAACTACATGTTCGATCTGATGTCGATCAAGTCTGTACGGATTTCACTTTGCATGTGGACAATAGTGTTTAATTTGTTTTGCTGATCACGTACTGCATGTTCGATCTGATGTCCATCAAGTTTGTACGGATTTCACCTTGCATGTGGACAATAGTGTTTAATTTGTTTTGCCGATCATGCTTGAGATGCGATATCTCTATTTGCTGATCGTGCTTGAGCGACGATATCTCTGACTTCATAACATCGATTGCCACACTCATCCGAAGATTCTCAGTTTGGAGTTCAGTTAATTGTTTCAAAAACTGTTTTCACATTTCGTCAACCACTTGCACCATATGACTACCCATTATCAGTGGCAAGAAAATGGTGAAAACCTCTATAGTCCAGATGCCTGCGACCCGTAATGATCTGACAGATCAATGACCTAGAACCTAACTATGATGTTGCACTAAGAATAATAACTGAATGTGACATAATCAGTGACACGTGACCTGTTTTGTGACCTGTTTCTAATACATGTGACGTGTGCACACGACGACTTATGAAAATAGCAAAGGTGGAATAACATGTGACCCGTAATGAATTGACAGAAAAAGCGTGAGCTAGAAAATGTGACATGTGACCCACAACTAACATTATTTAACAACTTACATCGTTTGGTGCCGACTGATCCTCCCTACTAGACGAATTTGCATGGAACGTTGTTCCCTGCCATCTGGGTGGGATGTCAACAAAATCGTCATCACCATCGTCAAGAGGCATCCGTAATCATAAGCAGTGGCGTAGATGCTTTTACACTCAAGTAACTCGACTTTCTAGTTGCCTCGACAGAATGAGCTGATTTCTCCACCATACCCCCCTTTCTCTTCTCCCACGTGAACGTTTAGGTTGGACAGGCTTGATATATTACATTTCATACATGTACGGCATTGCCATTTCCATGTCTAATGGGTCCAGATGTCAAGGACCGCAGCTTTACTTAGCCCCTTGACACTATCGCAGCCGCAGTTTGCCCAACTTCAGCCGCACATTGTAAATATTACTTCAAGTTTGAGTTGTAATTTTCTTTTCATTGTAATAGTTATTTCAGTTGTAAAATAGCTCTGATATTAGTAAAAGTTTAGTATGATTCCTCGTCTTTTAAACGTCTACTCCTATCACTTAGGTTTTTGTTTAGAATGCTATTATAGAGGGTATTAGTCATTCAAAAATCTTTCAAACTCAATGGTGTCCGCCCCCTGCA